TCGATAGGCTAGCGCCCAACACCTACTGTCCAAGTAAATTCCTTTTAGATTCATAATGCACTGAAGTTAAAATCCAGGTTTTTCTATAAATTATTGGAGGATGCAGTTGATGGGTTCCCAAAAAATAGGGGTACACCTAACTACTTTTGATTCTCGATCGATAGTGAAAATTTCTGTTCAGTTGGGTTTACTGTTTTCATACATTTATAGAGTCAATAAGAAGGAGGATAAATATTGAAATAAGTCTCAAGATGATCCAGAGGTGAGCATGTCACGGGTTTTCCAAGTCACAAGTCAAGTCAGTTTTGATCGAAAAAAATCGATTTTACTGGCAGATGGCGTCAGCGACCTGGTTCATTAAAAGCAGGGCTTTTTCCTTTGGATTTAGTATGGAAACAGAAATCCCCTTCAAACTAGTGTTTTCAGGTCAAAACCGGATTTTGTAAGGTTGTTTTCTAGAAGACCTTAGTTGGAAAAACCAGATTTTCGATTTTTTTCCATCAAAACTTAACTATTTTCTAGTTTTGACCTGATATTCACGATCCGTATCAAATTCTACATCGAATAAAGTATCTTTAGAAAAATTCTGAGTAAAAACGTTTTTCGATGTTCCAAAGGTGGGATAGGGGCTTCAAATTTTCCTAAAAGTCCTAAAAGTCCTAAATTTGTTGCAATTTAACTCAAATCTGTTATACAATCGTCATAAGATCAGCCGGTTTGACCATTTTGAAACAAATTAGTGCTCCTGAAACGATCGTCAAGATGAAATTTATGATCATCGATCCACTGGCGCGATTATTCGGAATTATTGTTGATGGTGATGACGACGACGAGGAATTATCACATTGTTTTTCAGAACTAGAACAGTCAGGACATTGAATATCATTTTGATATTTAGCCTATTGGATAGCGAATACATCTGAATTAAACAAGACCGCGATTTATCTCGATTATTTAACAATGTTCAAGATCGTTTAGCTGAATATGTACACTGTAATCTTGAATTAATTTCTACTTTATAGAAAATCGACCGAAAAACCGCCGAGGATCTTCTAGATTATAGAAATTCCTCGACGAATTTCCAGCTTTCTAGGAAATGTTGATTTTCTACTTTATAGAAAATTGACTTGATTTTCCATAAATTCGATTTTCTATAAAGGTGGAGAATCGCTGAGAATTTTCTAAAAACTGGAAAATCGTTGGCGATTTTCTAGTTTATAGAAAATCAATCGACTTTCTATAAATAATTTCCGAGAACCTGAAAATTCGATTTTGATTTTCTATAAAATAGAAAATCAAGGTTGAATTTCTATAATTAGTTTCCATGATAAATGTCGTTGGAATGGACGAATCACAAACAAGAGATTCTTTGAAATTATTTATGGAAATTCAACGACGATTTTCTAGCTTCTTGAAAATTCGATTTTCTATCAACTGGAAAATCCTCGAGCAATTCCCATAGATAACTTTTGAAATTCGTCGAGCATTTTCCATAAATAATTTCCAACCTGACAGTGCATACAACGTTTATTTCGTCATTTAACAACATTAATACAAACTGAATTAGAAAAATATTTATGTGCTTTCTCAAATCCACTAGATGATGTTGAAAGAGATGTTTACATTGCATTTGGCAAAGTGAGCGACTTTTATTTTTGTATAACACGCAGTGATTTGTTTCAGAGATGTGCCGGAGGAAAGTATTTTATTTTAGTAGCATGGCAATAAGTTTTTACCGTTGGCGCATGACGGGAGCTAAAAATATCAACGCGATGTTATTCGATATAGAAATGTTCGCTCTACACATCTTTTCACTTAGTTTCTTCAATGGACGTTTATTTAAAAAATTATAACATTTCTGCATCGAATAACGTCGCGTTGATATTTTTAGCGCTCGTCATGTGCCAACGGTAAAAACTTATTGCTATGCTACTAAAATAAAACACTTTCCTCCGGCACATCTCTGATCTGTACCATTCTAGAAGACAGCAGTGCCATAAGGTGCTCTATTTTACCAAAGAGATTTGACTCTGTCAGTTTTTCAAAGGAAAAGACTCATTGGAAACTAGTTTAGGAGACTAGAGTTTGGGATTAACAGCATGTTTTGGGAGATCAATTTTGTTTTATTTAGACTAAAGTTTGTTTTATTTTTAGACTAAATCAACTCACCCTCGTGTATCATGGCAATTGCAGTATAATAGTTCAAAGACAGAATTTTGTTAATAAAAACTGATGAGTTTGAAAAAAGTATTCAAGAATAATCGTGAAAGAAACCTTTAATAACTGAAGGATCAATTTTGGTAGTCCTTTTTCCACATACCAATTTCAGTTTTTTTCTCGTTTTCATCGAATTCAGTCTATGAAGTATAGAAAATATACATGTTCAATCATTACTCAAAATAAAACGACACACGCTAGTGGCCGTGAATAGACATACTTGGATACCGATATGTCGATATCATCAAGTATCATGACTGATGCATGCATTGTTATTACTCATATCTCAACAACAAAACTAATCTACGTAAATGCAAATGTGGAGATTCGAGTGAAAATATACTTTTCTTCAGCGTACAGGTTATAGACGAGAGTTTAGATTAGCAGCAAACAAAATCATTTATTTTTTATGACTTATATTGTATGTAGATAAAGAGTGTTTCTATCATTACTATACGATCCATGAACGAATAAAGTTTTTGATGTAATAGAACAATCTTCATTCTAATTAAAAATCATTTTCACTCAGATATCCGCAGATTAATAAATTTGAATGCAAGTGTATTTATTAAAATTAGTTTGTTTCTTTTACATTTGAACAAGAAAAAAACATGTGTTTATCCTGTCAATCCTTTACCATCTTTAACCATTTCAAATAGTACTTCCATTGGTACACCTTCAAATGCTAGTTGATCAAATGTTCCTACCCCATTATCATTTAACATTTGTAAACGTTTTAATGTACGATCCACTTCTGATTGATAATTGCTATTATGACGATGGGAATGAAATCTAGATGGTTGACGGCCATTACGTTGTAACCATTGACTAGCTTCATCTTCTGCTAATGTTTTTGATTGTAAATTACTTTCACAATTGACAAAATTGAGAATGACTATACATATAAACAATGTTAATATTTTAGTGGAATACATATTGATAACACGGAATATTTACTAAACTGTCTTGTATTAGCAAAATACGGAGTATATATTGTGTCACTATTGAAAATTGTGTGGGTAAAAATATGATTTTTCATGATTTAGTCTAGTTTAAATGTGACTAAAAGGGATCAAAGATGTTAAAAGATATTTTTGTATGACAAAATACAAGAAAGGAATATATTAATCCTTCGTACCAACCAAAATGCATGATTGTTGCTTCCAATGCCTACTCAATAATTTATTAAAAATATTTATATTAGCATATAACGCAAAATAAATTGATTTCATTCGAACAATATCGCACAGCAGTTCTATTCAACTTGTAGTTAGTTGAAATATCTTGATTGATATTTATCTACTTTTTCTGCTGATTCTTTTTAAAAATGTGGCTAAGATTTATAAGAAACATCTAATAGATTATTTCTAGATTTTTTCCCCATTAATCAAGCTTGATCAATATTTTCGCGTCCCTAAACTTTGAATTAAACAGAGAGCTAATTAGTTTCTATACTTAACAGAGGTGAGATCGGCTCGTGTTTTTCTGCAACCGAACCGAATCGATCAATTTTTCTATATGTAATTAAAGTTAGAATAAAACGTAAAACTCTTTGTCTTTATCATTCAAATACTCCTCACTTTAGTTCTTTGTTTCCGTGTGTATTCTTTCTCTTTGGGAGTGGTTTCACTTCACTTTCGAAAATAAAAAAGAGACCTGTTTTCACAGGAAAACAACTATTATATAAGAGCAAAAAATAGCAGATGACTGCTTGTTTAGGCATTTTTTGCCAGTAAAATATTTATATTTTGCTAGGAATTTTTAAAGATAATATCATTCACAGTAATATTAGTAATGCCGCCGAAATGCTTATTTGTGAGTTTATAACAGTATTATTTTAAAGGATGAATAAAATCATTATCGTATTAAAGAAATATGGTAGTTTAAATACTAAAAAGCATTTATTTAATGCATCTGATCGAGAGCTGTCTTTCACAACTTTGAAATTTTGATGTTAAATTCCGAATCAGAACCAATTTCTTTATAAAAACGCAATCAGAAACGAGACGGGAATGCCCAGCATCTTCCCATAGAGTTTTTCGCGCTAGTTTCTGCTACGTGGAAAATGGCAAGATTAAGTAGGATTCGGTTAACGACCTTATTACTTCTTTTTCATCCAGACTGGAACAGGATGGATGTGTATTCTTGGCACGAAATGAAGCGGGAACGCGACTAGGATAGCAATAGTTTTTTAAAAAACCAATGGAAAATATCTTCAGTGCATATAATCACGTAGCATTAGTAGTACCTGATATTAGTTCAGTCGATATGGTAGCTTGTACCAAATTTATTATAATGTTTAGATCATATACGCGTATCATGTAATTTTATTATTTCTCTAATTACTAGTAAATACTCGATAGAAAATATGTGCCAGAAAATTGTTCACGTGACATCTTCTGAAAATCTCATTAATAAATTTAAATTAATGGTCATTTTCGAGATTGTACTGATACAATCAATTCAAGTTCCTAAAAGAACAATAAAAAGACGCTGTAATCTAGTAAATCGATAGAAAAGTATGTTTTAATAATTGGTGCTCAGTCTGAAACAGCGAAATTTAAATTAAATGTACACTTCTCTTAATCTTTAGTATATTCAACATCTAATCTTCAATGTCGAATGTCTTCAGTTTTACGTAACAGGTCATGGAAAAAAGATGGTATCTGTAAGTAATCAAGTCTGCATGTATCAAGTATCCATCATCCTCTCTAATAAAACATAAGTAATACAACTGTAGAATAAAAATTACTAGTCACAGTAAAGTAGAATTGCTCTTACTTCTAATATCTCATCCACTTGAATATAGTCATTTCTGTCCGGATCAAACTGTTAAATTATATCCTCCGCTTCTGTTTCTAATGTTTGACTGGACATTTTCTGAATTTGACGAATTGCATTTAGTGAATTTTAAACGACATTAGTTTAATTTTCTGCTAAATTTCATACTTTTTCTGTGATAAAAAATCTTTATGTTGTTGTATAGTATCAGTTTTGAGTATTGCTTCATCTTTCAAAGTAGCTTCTTCAGACTAAAACTAGGATAATCAAGTGAAGAGATAAATTAGTTAGAGATAAATTCCGCGCTTGTCATCTTACTTTAATATCTTCAATTAAACCATCTTGTTTTTTATCTAGCGTGCTAACAATCTTTAGTTTACGTTTATTTATACACTGTTAGAAATCTGTGTTCTTCCGTTCTTTGGAGAACATGGTGAAGAACACGAATGTGTTCTTTGAAAACTGAAGAACAGAATATATGTTCTTCAGCCTATTTTCACGTTTTTGTTCTTCAGT